CCGCGCCGGCGCCCCTCCGAGCCACCCGCCCCGCGAGCGCGCGTGTGGAGCAAGGCCGCCTCCCCTTTGTCTCCGTTTAGTCACACGGGCTGGAGGGGGGGAGGGAGGGAGGAAGGCTGGAAGGGCCCGGAATTTTAGAGGGGGGGGGTGGGAAGGAAGAAGGCTGTGGAATCCTCAACAATCACGTTGTGGAAAATGTCCCCGCCATCGCCAGGCCCGCACGCCCCCGCCTCTCCTCCCCAATTCCCTCACGCGGAGCAGGGAGACCCCTCCGCACCCCGGCGGGCGAAGCAGGAAGAGCGGGGCGCGCGGGGCTAGGGGGCGCCCACCCGGCGCAGCGCGGCCGGCGGCGGCAGGAGACGAAGGAAACGTCAAAAATCACTGCGGCGCCGCGACCGCCGGCGACCCGCCGCCTCCTCCGCGATCCCCTCCCGACGCCGTCTTCGCCTTCTCCGGCCGCCGCCTGCTGGCGCTTCCTCCCTGCTGTCGGAGAAGGCGGTGGCCCGCGAGCAGCCTTAAATCCCAAGCTCTCCACTCGTGTCTCAACAGTTGTGCCCTGGTGTGATTTTTTTTTTTTTTCCCCCTTTCCCCTCTTATCCTCTGTGTTGGATCGTTCCCTCTAAGCCGCCGCCGCCGCCGCCGCCGCCGCTGCGGTTTTCCGGCTGCCGCACTGGATGGAGAGAGCAGATGCAGGCACTGAGCATGCGCCCTCGCGCGGCCCGGGCGCGCCGCCGCCTCCCGCCCCCGTCCGCTTCCCTCCAGCCAGGAGATCCCAGCCCCGCTGCCCGGCCCACTGAGCATGCTCGGCCTCGCCCCCGACCCCCTCCGCTCCGGCCGGGCCGCTGGGAGACTGCCTTATAATCCTCTCCCCCGGGTCCTTCCTGCAGTGGGCATCCTCCACGTCCATGGGTTTTGGCTGCTGCTCTTAGGCTATTGAAAGAGGAAAGGAAGGTAGGAGAGAGGCCTAGCCATAGCCTGTATGTTTTAGTTATACATTGGTTGAGCAAAGAGAATTGATACCTATTAGAATGCTAAGTGTTGGAAACCACTAACCAGCTGAAGGGGAGGCATGTCGAACCAGCCTCTCGGTAGGGCAACCTCGTTATGATTCACAGCCTCGGATACTGATAGATGGTCGCCATGAATTGGAATCGACAGGAGGCCCCTGGGTTTGGTTGTGTAGCACACATTGTGTGGGGAACCTGAAATGCCTAATCCTATAAATCTCAATAACCCCAAGAGATAGGTCTGTTTTCTTTCGGAGACCAGAGGAGCAGAGACATCAGTCTTAATGGGGCTGAAGTCGCGTTGATTATCTGTGTGGCTCCAAACCAGTATTAATGCCTTCCTATCAAGGTTACTTGCTTAACCGGATGTCCTCTACCTGGACTTTCTGGGAGAGAAGTCACAGCCATCCGTACTTCCCTGTCCCCTCAGAATAAAGTCTAAATTCTTTCACGAAGCGTGATCTGGACTTTGCAGACATCTGTAGCTTCATTTTTGTCAGAACTGTCCTGCATTCTCCAAAAGAGGCATACCTTCTCATCTCTGCCCACCTGGCTTACTGCCCGACAGTCCTACTCGCCACAATAGACCCCGCCTTCAGGAGGCTTCTCTGACAGCTTCTGAGGGTCTCAAGGTTGTCCCACTTCTGCTGTTCCCATAGTGCCCTGTCTTATTTCTGTCATAGCATTCCCTTTATGGCAATCATAACTTACTTTCTATGATGGTCTATCTCCATTGCATAGAAGTTGCTCAATTAATATTTTGGTACTAAGCATTACTAATTTAGTTAACACTGAGCTTACTTGACACAGTTGAACCTTACATTTAATTTTTTTACATGGCCTACTTTTAATCATAAAATCCTATGTTATCCTCATGTCAAAGATAGGGAAAATTAAAGATCCGGAAGTTTGTGGGGGGTTTTTGTTTGTTTGGGTTGTTTTTGTTTTTGGGGTTTTTTTTTTTAAATAAAAGCTTCTCATAGGAAGCTCTGGTAGCCTAGTGGTAAGAAGCTGTGCTGCAATCTCAAAAACATGCGGTTCTAAACCACCAGCTGCTCCACAGAAGGGTGGACAGTCTGTTCACCTGTGCTTTATTGCCTCTGAAAATCTAACCGAGGCTCAGCCATGAGTCACACAACTAGTAAGTGACAGAGCTCAATATTTGAAGCCAGAGAATATCATTCCATAGCCCCACACGTTGAAATACTTAATTGTCATGGGCCCTTGATTCCCACACTTAAAGTGATCTTGTAGAACAATTGTCCCATTAAGGTTTCTAGGCTGCAATCCTTGCAGGAGTAAATTGCTAAGTCATTTTTCCTGACAAGTTTCTGGGTGAACTTAAACTTCTGACCGTTTAGCACAGGTTGAACCATTGTCTCCCTATTGTTAACTGCCTGCAAGATAGAAGCAGTCTGTGTTTTTGTTTTTGTTTTTTTTTAATTACTTGCTGTGCAAAGAGCTGCATAATAAAGATGACAGAAATTATCAGTGCATTTGAGATGTGGTGTTGGAGAAGAGTGCTGAATATCCTATGGACTACAGAAAGAATGAGCAGGCATGTCTTAGAGAAAGTGCAGCCAGAGCGTTCCTTGAAGGCAAGGATGATAGAACTTTGTCTCACATACTTTGGGCTTCTTGTTGTTGTTGTTATGTGCCGTCGAGTTGCTTGCGACTCATAGCGACCCTATGTACGACAGCCCTAAACTCTGCTCTGTCCTGTGCCAATCGTACTGTCTCTGACCCTCCCATCCCGATAATCCCAGTCACTGAATTAGGAGAGGCTATTCCTTGGAAAGGGGCATCATTTTTGGAAAGGTGGAGGTTGGTGAAAGAGTGGAAGACCTTCAACCAGATATATTGGCACAGGGACTGCACCAATGGACTCAAGTATGTCAAAGTTGATTAAAATGGTGTAGGATAGAACAAGATTTAGACCTGTTGTTCATAGGATCACTATGAATTGTCCTCTACTCAATAGCATCTAACAACAATGAAACAGAAAAGGAGGGACTTTGGACACTGCTATCTAAAAGGGTAGGGGAGCTCTGACGGTGTAATCCAAAGTTAGACTGTGCTGTTGCCCCAAAAGTGGCACTTCTCATCACATCCACCAATGGCTCTGAGGGAGAAGGAGACAATGACTTAGACCCCTGGAGGGTCAGCTATGAGTCATTTCCAACTCCATGGCAATGAGTGAGTGAATGAATGGGTGCTCTAAAGGGCAGATCCACCAGAAAGTAGGCCCTTTGATTTTGTTTAATCTCTGCATACACTCCTTGAAACAAACCCATATTAGGTTTGAGCCAAAACCTGAGCCTGATAGGTCTTCTACAGGAGGCTTGCTAACTATAGTTAGCCTGGCTAAATAACTATGTGGGATAGGGAAAGAAAGTAGTAAAAATAATTATGACATGTGATAGTTGGTTCCTATTCACCTGAAGCAAAAGGAAGAAAAGTCAGAAAAGGAAGACAATGGAATGTGTGACTCACTATCTCCATGGACAGTTGCTTTGTTTGTCTTAAGATCATAACTAGGTAGGGCTCAGCTACCATTACTGAATAGTTTAAGAAAAGATTGATAGATGAATCCTGATCAGAAGAGAGAAAATGCAGGAATTGTAAAATCTCACATATTCTATAGTTTCTGGGGCCATGAAGGTTAGATAAACCCCTGAAAATTATTGCTCTGAAATAATCTTTAACCATGAACCAAAAGTAGCTCCTGATGTCTTCTTAAAATCAAACAATAGTTGAGCTTTACTGCGAAAAAAGGGAGCTCTGATGGCCTAGAGGGTAGAGAGTTGTGCTGCTGACCACAAGGTGCCTCCTCTCTCAGGTATGAATCCACCAAGGGTTCTCTGGAGAAAGGTGAGAAAGCTCTTCTTATGTGATTTACTGCCTCTGAAAAAACTTCCTGGAGGGTCAGGCCAAGTCAGCAGCAATGAGTGGTTGAGTGAGTAGAAAAAAAGAGCTAACTTGAGCATTATGCTCTGAAGAACTATTTTTTGTTGTTCTTATTGAAAACTATTGAGGCAACTACACCACCCACTCTATGAACAACAGGTCTGAATCCTGCCCTGTCCTGTGCCATCCTTATCTCTAACATATGTAAGTCCATTGTTACAGTCACTATGCCAATTAATTTGTTGAGAATCTTCCTATCCTTTGCTGACCCTCCTTTCCAAGCATGCTATCTTTTCCCAAGGACTGGCCCTTCCAACAGCATGCCCAAAATACGTGAGATAAAGTTTCATCATCCTTACCTATAAAGACCACTCTGGTTTCACTTTCTCCATGACATATTTGTTTGTTCTTTTGACAATCCGCAGGATATTCAGTCTTCTTCTCCAACACCATAACTCAAAAGACATCAATTCTTCAGTCATCCTTATTCATTTTCCGGCTTTTAAATGCATTGCAAGTAATTAAAAAGACCATGGCTTAGATCAGGTGTACCTTAGTCTTTAAACTGACATCAGTGCTCTTTAGCACTTGGACAAGGTCCTTGAAAACAGATTTTCACAATGTGAATACATCCTTTGATTTCTTGACTGCTGATACCAAGGGTGCTGATTGTGTATCCAAGGAAGATGAAATTGTTGATAATTTCATTATTGACAATTGGCCCAGTGATGAGGATATTTTGCTTTCTTGATATTGAGATGTAATCCATATTGAAGATCGTAGTCTTTGATCTCATTGGGAGTGAATTGATTGTGTACAGCCTCCTATT